TGAGATGACTAAACAAAGATCCAACGTGTAATTTCATGCGCTCAGATTTGAGAACTGTTTAATTCTTCCAGAAGAAGGGATACCCATTGCATTCGGAATGGAGCCCTGGCCATTGCTTAGCTTCTTGAAGAACCTTAATGAGAAATTTAATGCTAATGAAAATAATGGGTATTCAGCTCCTCAGAGAATCAAGCCAAGTAATGCAATTATATCTTAATGCTTAACCATACATGTATTTTGAAGAAAAAAAGCACTGACTTTAAAAATGTTGCTGTCTACATTCCCCTATCCGTTTAACCTTGAAATTAAAGGCTTTTCTTTTTCCTAGCTTTACTCACCTGATGTATCTCAGAGCAGCAATATTACTGAAGTCAACAGAAGCATCGATATGGGTAAGTGCTACTCAAGATATGTCAGACTTGCACTATCAAGCCCTGAAATTGTTTGCTTACCAATAACCTATGGAAGAAAAGATAATGGTGTACATGGAAAGGTGAATGAGGTTTGATATGAGAACTATATATGCTTTCTCTGATGAAAACGCTATTCTAATCTATATGTAGAGTAGAATTTGCTGGTAGCAAAAAGTTTTTGGTAGCTAAATTCCTGTTTGCTGCATTTGAAAGAGACTGTGGTTTGGAGAAAAGGGAAAATGTTTCATTAGGAAAGTATAATATGTTCTCAGAAAACAGTAGCTCAAAATTAAATATTCTTTCAAAGTTCACACCCGTAGTGTATTAATAATTAGTACTATAACTATTTAACCCCTAGGAGAGAAAAGTAATTTCCGCTTTTCAGCATTAGCCAGCTCTATCCAGATATTTCTGACTAAGCCTAAACAAAAGGATTATATTGTATACATTAAACAAGGAATATTTAAACATATATCTGATTCTTCACTAGGAACACTGCTGCAAGTGGACTAGAAAATTAAGCTTTTCATATTTCCTTCCCAGTGGAAGCTATGTAAAACAGAATAATAAATGATTGTCACTCCATTTCAGAACATAAAATTAATCTTAGAAAACAGAAAAGTCATGAACAATATTGCAGCAGTATTTCATGGTTCACTGGTTATTATCACTTGCCAACATTAAGGTCACAAAAGAACATTTCTCATTTGTTGCCTAGAGTATCTGTGACTACATTCCTATTGTCAAACCTAACCTTTAGAAGAACTACGGAGGGGAAAAAAGGAGAGGGAAAAAAAAAAAACTATTTTGAAGTGTGTTTTCTTTTGCTGCAGTATGTGTATAAAAAAAATAATAATAATAAATTAAAATTAAAAGCCTCAGGCTGCTGGAGACAAAGCAGGTCACAAACTTTAAATATTTGGTCCCTGTTGAGAGTAAAGCATTAACAAATAAATGTTCCAGCAACACCGTCTGGATTCCCATGAGTATGAAACCACAACTGCCCACACCATCACAGGTAGCCAAGTACTTTCCCACAGTTTAAAAGGGAGGGCGGGATTGAAACAGAGGGCTAAATATTTGTTTTGTAAAAATGGGCAATGTAGAGAATAAATGACTTTTTGGACCAACACAGAACCTTTTATTTCTTGGTCAATGATTTGAAAGTAACCATTACTCCTGGTGTATAAAAATAATGAATGCTGCTTTATGGTTGATCCTGAACACAAATTCAGAAAACTTATTTAAAGGAAAGATTTTCTATCCACGTCGGTTATGTAGAATTTTGTCCTTCTGTGCCTCTTAGGTGAGGGCTTGAAATAAATTGCTTTGCTCTGTCCTATACCTAACAGAAAAGTACACACTTAATTTATTCATCACATTTATCACTAATTGTTCATTTTAGGGATTGAGGAAGGAGATTCAGCACAGCCGAGAGCCTGTAAGAACTATTGCTTTATTCCTACTTACATTTATTCCAGAAAGGCTCTTTAAGCCTCTGTAAATGGCTCTCAAATGAAAACATGCAATTAATGGCAACTGAATGCCACCCACCTTGCAAAGCTGATAAATACCAGCAATCCTGAGCCTTGCTGTACAGATCACACCTATTACCTTACAAAACAATAGACAAAGACATTAAATCTGTGTTAGTAAAAGTAACCTTGCTCTGGATTGTTCAGCTGTCTTGGAATAGCCTGAGTCCATATTATTAAGCTCTCTTGTCCTTCAGGATGAAATGGTTGCACCCAGACAACTGTCTCAGAACAGTCCTCAGCTCATGCTAACTAACCCAAAACAAGTCCACAAATCATGTGGCAGAGTGCTGGTTGACACAGGCCTACAGCATGCCAGACCCCCTTGCCACGATTTAACAGCGCACACAATTGAATTGCCATGTTTGGAAATGCTTGCTAGCACTCTTTCATTTACTGGTACAGATACAGCCAGTCCTCCAGGCTTTCAGTGGAGTTCTTGGCATGACCTTTCAAGTTTTGTTACAAAAAACAAAACACAACAAAACAAACAACACATCCTACCTTCCAATAGAAACTACATCAAACTGAGAATTAGTGAACAAATACCCATTTTCTGTATATTCCTTAAGAAAAACAAGTAACTCTTCAAATATTAAGAGATCACATTTAAGTTTGTGATACTGGAACATTAAGCATTTGATAGACTAAAGTATCTATTTCCCCACTGATGTGTGGGTGATTTATGAGCATCATTTCCATTAGCATTAATGGAAATTGCCCAAGTCAACCCCCCCAGTGTATCATATCTTGAGCAGACTCCTATATCTTCTGAGTTTCCTGCTAATTCAAATACCAACTGTGAATAGACCACTTCACATAGTAGGCTAGAGCTTAAGGAATAGAAAAAAAATCCCTACGTACTATAAACAGACTCCCTACTTTGACTTCTTTTTTTTTTTAAATAAACTGCAATATTCTCCAAAGTGACATGCTGAGTGAGACGCACTACTGGAGGGATAGGGGAGAAGAAACAATTAGGCATGGTCCTGCTAGCTGTTTTTTTTGTTGTGGGGTCACCATCTCTTTCCCCCTGACTAGCCTCATTTTAAAATAAAGTGATTGCCTCAAATATAAAAGTGTTTGTGTTTTGACAGCTTTCCTGCTCCATTTTTTCAACCTGAGCATAATGGGCAAACAGCAATGAGTTGGCAAAGTGCTTCCAATTAAGTATATAGGGAGCTTCTTTGCCTGTCTCTAGTGAGTGGTCCTGCCTGGAACCCCCAAGTGTTCTCCTTGGCCAGAAATTGATTTTGAAAGCTAATTAATTCCTGCACTATGCCAAATTTCAGAATATTTTTTCCTATATATTATTGGTGATGTAGAGCAACTGTTCAGGAAGCCCACATTATCAGCAATGATAGTTTTTTCTACATTACGCTTTTTATCTTGAGGGATCCCAAGCACTTTATAATTGTTAACCTAAGATGCTAATTGCATTTATCATGGGGATGAAGTACAACGGCTGGATGAACACAGAAGATGCTCATCTCACTGTGTTCCACATTCATCGTGTTATCTATTTTAAGTAACATTCAGTTTGGGATATGCATACAAAGGAATAAATGCATGTATAGTGTGTTAAAAAATAAAAATCCTTTAAGTCCAAGTGAATGAAGCATTGCTAGTAGGCTGATATCCTCCTGTAGCTACTTGAAAGACTCTGCAGCTAAGCAGAAGAGAAATAAACATTTTGCCATATTCAGGAGAGAAAACACATGACCTAGAATCTGATTAGGAAAGTTTTTTCTCTCAATACTACATTAAAAAAATTAGAACAATGACTGATCTTTTTAATAAATAAAGCAAAGGTCAGAATATTTTCTTTCACTGTCATATTTCAGGAGTGCAGAAAATTGACTCTGCTATGAACCCTAAGCTGAGGACATGTTTGCTGAAGTTCACCAGCCTTTTCACAAACTTGGATTGAGATTTAAGTAACTTCAGGTGCCAGGAAAGGATATAGGCAGAATTTTGAACAAACTAGATGAAATACAAGGGGTTTTGTTTAGGTTCTACACAAAAGAAGGACTTTTATCAGTGTCAGTTAGGTTTTGCTTTGATATTTTGGGTTTCTTCCAACCTAAGAAACACTTTCAGGATCTTCTCTCTCCCAAATTGAAAGGAAAACAAGCTTGGACAAAGTCCTTAAATGCCAAAACCTCCAAGTTTCACATAAAACTGGTCAAATTGATCTAAATCCATCCAAAGTGTGATGATTAATTGATAAATTGATTGATTATGGGGAACGGCTGTGAAGAATTCCATGCCAAACATTTAGGGGCAGTAAGACTCTGTTGTTGGCTGGTTTTGTACCAGCACTGTTCAGGAGCAATTTTTCCTCTCAACTGAATCTAGCCAGAAGGTGTGTCTGTTTCCTTCATGCACCAATTATACGATCATTTATATTTTCACTAGGAACTCTGTCAATAATGTACGTTCCCTGACAAGAAAATATTGATAAAAATATTTCTACAAAGAAACCGAAGCAGAGATCTGAATTAACTGGAGGCAACCAAACAAAACGATCTCTGAAATGCTATAAGGAAACCAGGTACGTAAGCAGCAGAAGGGTGGTATTTAATTATTACTATCAGACCTCCTTCCTTTTGTAGGTCATCCATAGAGGATGCTGAACTGCATGTGGACACCAACCCTATTTGCTGAATATATCTTCTTAAACCACACATAAAAAGCCTCCTCCTGGACCACGCTACATTAATAAGTAAGTCTCAAGCAGATAAAAAATCAAAGAGAGACTGCTAGACTGACCAGGAAACAAGCTTAACGAAAGAAGGGATTTGTGCCCTAGAGATAAGATATCACTCTTTTCTCTCTTGCTAAGTTAAGGGATCATAATTCAACAAGTTCACATTAAGTTATTAATATTGGCCTGTAGCAGTAATTGATAAAGCAGATGAAAAAATGGTAACAAAATCATTAACGGCTTGAAGCATTAACCCCTGCCATGAATTTATACTGCCTTAATCCCTACAACCTGCTAATCGGCTAGCCATGTCCTCTCCTCCGGAAGACCCGTATACTCACCCACCTTTGTTACTGCCTTTGCTGGCGTCATCGTTGTCTCAGGCTGGAAGCAGTAGGAGGCCCTGAAAAGTAATACAGTTTTATCATAATGCAGTTGGCACATCCTGGCTCTCAGGATGGAGTGAGAGTCATGTTCCTCCAGCTAAACAACACTGCTGGTATCAACACTGCTCTTGCTGGGCAGGGCTTTGTACCGGGGTCGGGGTCTCTACCCTGACACAGCAATGACACTGAGTAAAGTTTTACCATCCTTTACTGTTTTGTTCCACACCCCTCTTCCCACCCATCTCACCACTTCAGAAGCAAAAGACAGCAGTTAATGAATGAAGTCTGATTCAGACTTGATTAATATTTTAGTTCCCTTTTTCTCATAAAAGGAAGCTCAGATGAAACAAACTCATAGTCCTGAGGAGTCTCACTGCAGTGAGGTTTGTGTGGCATGAGACTGAATGTCTCTTTTCCGTTGTTCTTCCTGCACAAGAACTTGGCCTGATATAGTCTATACGATATATATATACCTACATATATTCACATACACACACACACATGTAAATATGTATGTGTGTATGTATGTATATGTCTATTATATATACAAGTTTTCCCCTCAAAAATGTTTAACAGATAGAAGTGAAACACTGATCGCATAGATCATACTCTAACAGAGTGGTAATAGTATTTTTTCTTATGCTTGGGTGCTGTCTCTTACTCACACACCTATGATCAAATAATTCCAGATTTTGTTTTAGTAAGGAATTTCCCTTAGGCGAGATTGGTTGGGATTCATTGTGTAGGATATCATTCTCCTTGTAAGCTCATCTAGATATATTTTACCCAGTTGATGCTCTGCCATTGCATTGCCCTCTGGCATTGTTGGTATTTCAGTTTCACCTGATCTCTACCTATGGCACTTCCATATTTATGTCTACTGAGATTTAAATGCTTTAGCTTATAACTGAGGTTACTGAGTTCAGCACAGGTATACATTTATTTCATGTCCTGTCCCTTCTGGCCTTAAATTCCCGGCAAGATATAGTGAAATACTTCCAATAACTTGAAATATCATATACTTTCTAAAGGAAAAATCTTTCTATGGTTCATATTTGGCCAATGGGGATTAGGAATTTATCCAATAGGAATATTTTTCCCAGATGTAGAATTCAGAAAATAAAGGAGTGCACTGATTTCTTCCCATCACTGCTTTCATGTATCTTTCTCATACTCTTTTTACATCCTTTACTCCTTTACTTTTCTGCACAATATGATAAACAGAGGGCAAGATAAGGTTATTAGTCATTTGTTTGTAATAGTGGAAACCATGTAATGAAAGGCCATCCTTTCATTAACGTCCTTTTTCTCTACGCCTTTTGCTCTGCTAATAAGGTGGGAAACTCGACAGAGGTCAAAACTCATCCTGACCCTAAAGCTACTGTGCTAGTTTCAGACGCTCTATTATTCTACAAAGAGAAGGGGAGAGGCTGTTTAAAAGTGCTGAATTTCTATCATTTAATTTTCCTTTTCCTCCAGTCATTCTCAAAGTTTTGGAGAGTAATTCTCTGCAGTTAAATATGCTTTGGACTGCATTCCCAAGCAGCTTGCAGAGACTACCACATAACCTAATGAATGTTCTACTTGAAGGCCTGGCCTCATTAATTGGCACTGTGATATCCTCCCGATCTCTTCCTTCCTGCTTTCCAAAGAGAAGTGTCAACATTTAAAACTCGAGATTTGTCTGCTGATATTTTTAAAGTGGTAAATAATTTAATTCATAAGACTGTGAAGTACCTATTCAATCATAAACATGATTACAACCGAGTTACTCTCTGTAGAGGGAGGATGGAAAAGCTGAAAACCTAATTGGGGTTTTCAGATCTTCTCACTGGTTTATTTCTCAGTTACACTGAGCATAGAGCTAATTATTCTAATGCAGAACTGCAGAGAAACCCAAATTAGCCTGGGTATTAAGTTCAACATAGGGTAGGATATATCTCTTCTGCCTTTAAACAGCTTCTGCAATATGAACATCTTTGTCTAAGCTATGTATGATGACTCTTTTTATGATTAATAGAGGAAAGTATGCCTTTCATTTGACCTCTGCTAAATGTTTGTTCTAGGGAAGGATGAAGTGGAAGTGCCTCCTGCTCTGTGCAAAGAGAGCTCAGATGCGGACTCCCATGTTTCAGCATGTTTCAGTCCCACTCTTATTTACAGTGATCAGTCTAGGTTGCTCTCCTTGCTTCTCCACGAACAGCCCAGGCAGCCCTGAGCTCCACTTGGACACCGCCAAGCATCCTCCAGCACTGGACTGAGCTCTCTCAGAGCTGGCTTGCAAACTGCCCTGTGAAAAAATGCCTTTTGTTTCTAAAGCTATTCTGGTAGTGCAAGCAGGAAGGAAAAACATCCCCAGTAAATCCATTTGCTCCCGCAGTGTTGCCATTCCATGTACAGCCATCATGGTCGTTTGCCTTTCTGAGATTTGTCTAAGATCACAAGATGGAGATAATTTCTGAGAGTTTGTAGACACAAGCCAGAGTCTACCTGAAGCTGGCAGTAGCTCCTAGGCTGGTAATATTTAGTTGTCTTGCAAGTGTTTTCTAGAAAAGTTATGACTTGTTATTCAATTTCTAGGGTATTTCCAGAAAATACATTTTTAAAAAAATTTAAAGCTTTTCTGCTTTCAGTCATTCACATCATTTGTTTACTTTTCAAAAAAATCTGTTAAGAAAATACAGCCATATGCAATTTTGGTTCCTACTCTGCTTCTTCTTTCTAATTCTTATATACTAAGCACAATAGCACAGTAGATTTCTCTCACCTCAAGACACTGTCTAAATAAGGATTACAGCCTTTAAAAAACACAGTCTAATACATAAAATATACTACCATACCTAGCTGATCATTTAAAAAAAATATTTTAAATTATTAAAGAAAGAAAAACTGTATTTAGAATTAAGGTGAATGAATATTGTCCATCACAGCATAGTATCAAAAATATAAAGGAGTAGCAATAGGGAATGGCAGGGTGTGACCCCAGGAATGAACTGTTCTTAATCGATCCAACACCATCTTGCAACGTTTCTTCTTTCCTTGATACTTTCTTATGACTTCTAAAGATCTCAGAAATATAGATTCCCTTCAACTTTGTCACTGCCCACAAAGAAATCTAATGGCTGAAAAGAATGGGGCATCTTGTCAGAGCATGTCAGTCTGAAAAATATAAAAGGATATGTTTGCTAAAAGTAGTGGCCAAGGGGAGTAAAAAAATCCCCTTACACCTTTCTTCTTGAAACACACACTTCAAATACCTCCAAAATAAAGGCAAAATCAACAGCGAAAATGAATTGTCTTCGTATCTCAGAGAAAAAAAACCCTACTTTTTCAACAATTGAAATAAAAATAAAATAAAATAAAATAAAAGGTATGTCTACGAGAGGGAAGAACTGTCTGAGCAAAATACTGATGTCTGAATGTCTATGAAGCATTTGAATTCATTCTTCAAAATACAAACATTTTCGCTTTGTCTACATAGACACAATCAAATAGGATTAAACTGTTTTTCAAACTCACACATTTACCCCACCGAGATCCTGAAGTACAGCAGATCCTTCATGAACCTCAGCCTCAGTGAACTGTAAAGTTATTACTTAGACTTTAATTCGCTGCAACTCTCTTCTTAACAAACTGACAATTAATTATTCTACTAGCTGTTCAAAAATTACGGCAAGTTACTGTGCTGTAGGAAATTTATGCTGATTTATAGTGCTCTAGCTCGGGAAAAATATTGGCTGTAGTTACTCCATTCTGTCCACTTAAACGGGTGCAATATACATTTTCAGCAGACTTCTTTAAGGTCGAAGTTCCCCCCGCCCCCACCTCTGCCATGATCTTGCTTAAAGGGATTTAATTCTAAATGTGGTGTACACTGCTTTGCTTGATATGGACATCACAGTTACGGAGTGAGCAGCCTGAAGCTCCTTTTACAGCCGCTGTGTCTGTATTCTTGCACACCATAGTCCAGTCCCATCAATCTTCAGGGTCTTAACTACAGTACAAGTAATGAAAGTAATGAAATACCTATGTTAGGGATTGTAAAATATATTATTCCGGAAACCTCAAAAATCTCATTTTAAACTGATTAAATACAAAAAACTCTCCCCCAAAAGTAATATATATATGCCCAAGAGACATACTATATAAAGTGAAAGATAATGGTAACTAAGGTCTCAGTTAACATTTCCTTTTATCTAACAATTTTTCTCAAGAGGCTCTGGTACTTTCCATTCACTTGTTGTCTCTGTACATGGATGACAGAAGCAGACTCTCCACTTGCTGTTGTTTTTACATCCCTTTCCTCTACAGACAGATCTCCATCTGTTGCTGACAGTGCACTGAATCCCCTCTTCTCCCCTAATCCAGCATCTTTAAAATATAAGCAATCCTTTCCATCCTCATCACAAGCATGAACAGAAAAAACCCTATCAGCCTGAAGAGAATCATGGAGAGGTTTCCCTGCTGGTAGGGCATTTGGTACATCCTAGACCATGGGTTATCTTGGTACTAATGTATAAATACATTTATTCACACAGATTTAACTGCTTGCAGTCAAGTTCAGATACCATCATAAAGATATCCTGTTGCACCTAGTGTGTATTATTTTACATATAGCATCTTCACTCCCCCACAAAGGGTCTCTGCCCTTGAAAGCTGGTAGTATGGCTACGTAGTTACAGTCCTCCACATCCTATTATAAAGAGCACCTCTAAAGTATAGAAAAAGAGACAAACTTCAATGAGATCTCTGAAGATGATATACATCCAGAAACAGATGCCCTGATGTATTCCAGATACCTAGATATATATACTGCAAGAGTGATAATTTCATGCATTTTCATAAGAATTCTGTCTCTTTAGAAGTGTCTCTAAAGCTGAAATTCCTGGCTTCTGGTTTGTCTGCCTTTCTGACAGTCTCTGAATCTTAGCAAGGAATTCCTGAGCGTCACCCATGGATTGCCTCCCAAGATGTACCCTCTATGAAAAATAATCAAGATTTGTTAATTTTTTTTTTA